TATGAGGATCTGTTTGTAGCTAGAAAATTACTGCATTATGACAAATGCATGATTGGGAACTTACAGGAAGATGATCATTATTGAAATGAAACTGGAACTCATTTAATAGCTGCAACCAGCAGCTGGAATGAAGCAAATGAATGTCTTCCTGTTTTTATTGTCGTAGTCAGGTTTTTCAGGCAGGAGGAACATTTGTGCTAAACTGAAAACTTCTTGTATCTCTCCTTGCTCACTGGGCTTCGGCTTAAACAATGGAGAGGCAATGCTAAAAGCAGCTCATTTCCTACCTGTGAGTCTCCCCCTTGTGTGTTTAATGACACTATTTTAAAAACACAACTGTGGCTGGAAGACCAATTACTCCAGGAGCACTTAAAGGCACGCACACTACTCTGAGGCTGGGCTGGTCTCCAGGTCCCCCTGGCAGGGGTGGTCGGGAGGCTGCCACCACAGTGAAGGTCTGCCACCATGGCCCCCTCCTTCCTACTGCAGCTCAGACCCTGTTTGCAGGTAGGGAGCCTCCAGGCCTGGGGGGACCCGAGTGCCCTGGGCTGGCCCCCACTGCAGCAGCAGCAGCAACCTGCTCACAGATGCCCTGGGGACGAGTACCCACAGCTGAGCCCCAGGCATGTAGTAGCTACTTAATAAATGTCGGGTGAATGAACTGGATTTAAGACAGTTGGCTTGGCTATCTTCTTTCCGAGGGAGTTGCTCTTTATAGGAAACACTCACTGGCCCTAAACATATCTATTTTCCAATTTGAATTTTCTTCTGTTTTGTCAACCTGGAGGTACTGCACATGTCCCCCTGTTTAACTGCATGAGGTTTATATATCGATGGACTTGCTATTCAAGTCTAATAAAATAACCATATGCATTTTGGGGTATTAGAAATCAACACAGAACTCAGGGCAGGCCTGGCTGACAATGAAGGTTAAGCCATCAAAATGAAAACTACAACTCTGTATGTCACAAGAAAGAAAATTCCACTGACTCCTGCCCATTGGTACGTTTCTAATTGCTGCAGGCCGATTGGAGCTGCTCTGGCCGCAGCTGCAGCTCAAAGCCTGATGCCATTTTCGGCTGCCACATTAGCTCCGGCAATCCCAACTTGAACTGACATCACAGACCGTTAAAATTTTATCAATTGCGGTATGATTAATCCCCCAGTACATGGGCATGACTTAAATATTTAGAATGCTTCTTCTGTTATGACTTTAATGCATGTAAAGTAACAAGATTAACTCCAGTACACTCAAATGTATTTAAATATGTATCCTTCCCGAGCTGTAGGCTATTCTGGCGTGTAGGAATCACTGAGTCTATGTGGTCGTGTCAGGCCCTATTTGTATGACCTGCGCTGGATGCTGGCCTGCATGTGATAGCCGGATATCTGGCCTTTCCCAGGCTGCCTGACTGCCTGCCTCATTTGGCATGGAATGTGATTCCCGGCTATTCCAGCTTCTGATTCATTCAGGTTTTATTGCTGTGTAATTTTCTTATTCTAAAATAAAAGCTCTCCAACAAAAATTACTATGCATTAGGCCGCGGTAGCCTACTCAAATGGATATTAATACAGTTTATCTCTAAAAGGACGAATAATGTATTTGAAACAGATAAAAGGCCCTCCACTAAATGAGGAATGTTCACATCTCATGGCATGGTTAATACAGAGATATTTCACAGGGGAGATTTGTTTTATGACTTTTGATACAACAGTCTTGTAATCTGACATATCTTAAATGATATAATTTCGCACATACATTCATCTCTCAGACGCAGGAGCCATCTCAGCAAAATTTGAATTCAGGACAAATAATGGGCGCTAATTACTTCTGGGGGGATTTATTATAAAACTCATCCTCTCAGATGCAGATCCATGGAAATCCATGCAGAAAGTTGGAAGCTCACAATGCATTTTGAGAAATGTATTGCTTTTTTCCCCTTCAGCAGAAAATAACATTTGTTTTTGTTGTGTTTAAGGCTGAGTTTAAATTAATTTAACCCAGTGACACATGTTCGGAGACTAAACATGCTGCTAAATAATTCCTTGGAATAAATTGCTCGGGAACCAAGTACATTAATTTACGGCTCTCCTGATGCTGACAGATGTGAGGGGTGGGGGGAGGACCGACAAATATTAACATAAAACAAATTTGCTTTATTCTTCTTCATATTTCTCCCTCATCCCTGACTTGAGCTCACCCAAGGCTCCTTCTCTAATTATCCACGAGGTCAGTAAGCAAAATTGGGAAGAAGCCGGGAGATCAATACAAATTATCCCTGAGCAAACCAGTGCTGACAGTTTGAATTGCAGCATATGTTTACCCAAAATCAGGCAATTTATCTTAATATCAGCAAAGTAATGCAGTGCAGGTGAAAGGTCAGGCAATCTCTCCCCCTCATAATTACCCAGTTCTAAAACAGGAAAGTGGTATTGATTGGCCTGGCTCGGGGCTCTGTGACTGGACGTGCCAGCACCTTGCCCTGGCCCGGCTGGGCTCCCGCCTGTAAACTCGACACGCCAAGGGTTTATTAGATGTCTGTGAAGGTCCTTAACGCTTCTCCTCTGGTTGCAGAATTTGCCAGTGAAGCCTTGGTGATGCCTCACTTGTCCAGGCTCAGGGTGGGGATGGGTCGTGGGTGGTTCGGCACTCACAGGACAGTGGGCCAGATGGGTCACCCGTGGTCCGGGCCTTGTAGGAGCCAGTCAGCTCTGCAGATGGCAGCTGCTCTTGGGGGCATGGAGGCAAATTGGATAACCCTACCCGCAGCGATCAGAAATCTCCCAGAACCATGAACATAGGACACTTCTCCGGTGATTTAAAGAAAGGACAGTTTAATTCTCACACATAAACTTATTGGGCTTCCGAGCCCCTGGATGGGACATAACACTGGAACCATGGCCCCGGCCCCCTTGCTGCAGCGCGCGTCCAGCCCAGCGGGGACCTCCAGTGGCACAGTTACATGTCATATCCGAGCTTCCAATGGAATGCCGCGCTGATTCTTGGCAGTGCACTCAAGACTTTAGTAAATACTCTTTGGGTCAAATCCGGAGGTAAAAGGTGCTCTGGTATTTATACTGCTTTAAAATATCTTTGGTCATAGAAGAAGAATATCAATTCAACTGAAACACTGGAAAATGTCTCTCCCAGAATGAGAGTGTATGGTTATTACAAGTCATAAAGCTTCTGAAAGCTTGCATTAAAGCGCCTATCACCTGTCAGGGGCATTTGCATGAAATCAATAACGGCCGCCCATCTATCTTTTCTGATCACCTTTCATCAGGCCGATTCATTAAGTCAAACAGTCATGGTGATTAGCTGGGAGAGAGGGGCGACCTGACGTGTTCGAAATGCACAGTGGGCCACCTTTTTTGTTCCCTGATCAAGACGTGTAATACTTTATCTCATCCTTTTTGGACCAAGTTGCTTGGTGAGGCAGAAGCAGCCACCCAGCCACCCCAACCGCGCTTTTGCCTGACACCCTTGCCCGGGCCCAGGCAGAGACATGACAAATTGTCCCCCAAGTCAATGCTGACAGCTTCCGATGATTAATGGTCTGATTATGAAGTGGTTTTACACATATAGAATTTACATCACAGAGAGTTAGAAATTTTGCCATGTCACACACACCGAGACATTTTGAAGAGCTTTACTATTTGCAAAGAAAAAAGAAGGCAAAATCCCAGCAAAAGCCATGTCATGTAAAATCAATACATCGGATCAATGCTTTATTAACAAGAAAATGTCTTACTTCACATTCCTGTGCGGACCTTTGTCTCCGGGATGTATGATGGAATGTCAGATCATATTGTGGTCCTCAACTTTCGCGCGTGTGGTCGAGTGTGCGTGTGCGGCGTCCTGAGTTGCTTACGAGATGCGCCAGCAGCCCAGGCACTTGAGGATAACAGTGACCAATTATTTTGGAGAGCACTTTCAAAGGCAGCCCCTAACCTTCCTCTTAGGAAGTCGTAGCCTTTGTGTTCCCAGCGCTCTGCAGAACTGCTGAGTTGGGTGGTGTTCATCATCAAATTACTAATGAGCGATGGCCCAAATTGCGGGCGGAGTAATGAATAGATGGCGGCAGGTCTTATTAGTCTCCGAAAACCCCCTGATTTATGTCGCGCCTTGCACCGTGGAGTTACTCCACGGAAAACGATATCTACATCAAGAAGTAATGTGCTCTGATAAGTATTTTCATCTTAACTCGCGTCCCTGGGCCTCCGGGCTGAGTTTTTGTTGGAGTCAGGCAGAGCCATAATAAAGCCCGATGGCTCCTTATAAAGCTTGTTAAACACAGTGTGTGCAGTCGGACGGAGTCCCGGCCGTGATTCATGTACTGTACACAGCGCATGTGCTGCTGATTTATGGCCGTGCACCGTTCATAGTCAAAATTACAATTTGAGGGATAAAAAGATTAATTACTATTTGTGGCCGGCAATTTCGTGAGGCTGGTGGATCGCAGCTGTAGAATGATAGTGCTTTACATCAGTTTGTAGTCAGCCATTCACAGATTATTAAAGCTTTGCAAGAAAAAGTGCTCCTCCTGCCTGGTTTGTGCTCAGGCAATATGCTAGACAAAAAGGGACCACAGGGATAAATCTGAGGCTAGCAATAGCTGGACATATGTCATAATTGCCAGTTTCCCATAAATCCCTGGCCGGTGTGGAAGGCACCGTGTGATGCAGACATCACATCATGATGGTGGTGATTGCTATAGATGGCCCCAAGACCTGTAACTTTGTGACTGCACTACCATTTTTACAATAGATTGAGTCACCTTTGACTTTCTTCCAGTCTAATTATAGATTAGACACAATCACTGTTTTCATGTGCAAAAGGAAAGGGGAAGTCTATTCCTTAAGACAGAGCTAGTGTTCAGGGGTGCTTGCCTTAACGTCAGAGAAGGAGAGCTATGCATTTATTTGTAAACGTGCAATAAACAAGTAATGGATGACATAAAAGTAATTAACCTGATCTACATTTCTGTGTCCTGTTTCAGCCCTTAATGAACCAACCATAGATTACGGCTTTCAGAGGTTGCAGAAAGTGATCCCAAGACATCCGGGTGATCCTGAAAGGTTACCCAAGGTTAGTAAAAGAGCAAGTGGTGTCCTACTCATGGTGGGGCCACCACCAGGCTGGTTTTGATCTGGGGGTTGCAGGTGCTCTGAGAAGGGGGGATTCCAGACGCCCCAAACCCTGCATTCGCGGCGAGGCCCACAGGAGTGGGAGCTGCCCGTCTGCACCTGGCCTGCTTCAGAGGTGGGCGCAGGGTGGGTGAAGGGGTAGGCGGTCTCCAGTTTTCCATTTCATCCCTTA